CGTAGGGCAGCCCGTTGACGTCCAGCTTCACCAGGTCCTGCTTGCTGCGGAACTCCTTGAGGCACAGCGCGCACTTGTAGAGCTTCTGCAGGCCCTGGCCGTTGGGGGAGGACGCGGCCGAGCTGCCCGCCAGCTTCTGCATGTGGAAGGTGCCGTGGATCTTGAGCTCGAGCGTGGAGGTGACCGTCTGCATGCAGACCACGCAGCGGAAGCCGGTGAGCGAGTTGCGCAGGTCGGGGTGCATCTGGCAGTGCTCCAGGAACTCCTCCTCGCTCTGCAGCGGCAGCTTGCAGATGCGGCAGTTGCCCGTGTCCAGGCTCTTGCTGTGCGTGACCTTGTGCTCCGTGAGCGTGAGCAGCGAGGGGAAGCGCTCCCCGCAGATGGGGCACATGTAGTGCTTGACGGGGCCCAGGTGCGTCTGCATGTGCTCGCGGAGCCCGTTCTCGGAGAAGAAGGTGCGCGAGCACACGTTGCACTTGTAGTTGCCCTTGATGAGCTCCGCCTTCTTCTTGACGATGGCGCTCTCGCCCGGCCGGATGTTGTGGTCGCGCAGCTGGTGGTTCTGCAGCAGCGTCTCCATGGTGTAGGCCGCCCCGCAGATGTCGCAGCCGTACATGGGCTCCGAGGCGTCCACGTCCTCCTCGCTGCCGTCGTGGCTGTTGTGGGACTCCTGGCTGTTGGTCAGCAGCGTCTGCAGCTCCACCTCCTCCTTCTGCACCTGCTCGGCCGCACCATTGGCTCCGCCGTTGGGAGTCTTGGCCTCGAACACGCAGTGCTTCTCGCGCAGGTGCTTCTCCAGCAGGATGATGGCGTGGAAGGCCTTGCTGCAGAAGCGGCAGTTGTACTTCTTGCTGTGCGTGGTGATGTGGCACTGCAGCTCCACCTCGGTGCCGAAGGCCTCGCCGCAGAAGATGCACTTGTGCGCCTTGCCCTGGTTCTCCAGGTGGTTGTGGCGCACGTGCAGCTGCAGGTCGGCCTCGCTGCGGAAGTCCCAGTTGCAGGAGGTGCAGCGGTACACCTTCTTCTCGTTGCTGTGTTTCACCGCCAGGTGCAGCTGGATGGACACCTTGGAGTCGAAGACCTCCTGGCACAGGGTGCAGTGGTAGAGCACGAAGGTGTGCATGTCCAGCAGGTGCTTCTGCAGGTCGTCCACCGACGTGAACTGCTTGTCGCAGCTCTCGCAGATGTAGTAGGTCGAGGTGATCATGAAGTGGATGGTCACGTGCTTCAGCAGCGACTCCTGGTTGGGGAACTCCTTGCTGCACTGGGGGCAGGTCAGCTTCGGGAGCACCGTGTCCAGGTGCGTCTTCAGGTGCGTCTGGAAGCCGTCCAGGGACGTGTACTTAGCACCGCACTGATTGCAGACGTACTCCCCGGCCGGCCGGGCGGGCGCGCCCCCCACCGCCTGCATCATCTTCAGGGAGGTCTGCTCGAGGGCCACGGGGGACAGGGGGCTCAGGGCCCGGGACTTCTTCCCGTTGTGGATGTAATTCAGGGCCAAGGGAATGTTTTTGTGGTTCTCTTTGATGTGTTTGTTCAGCTTGAGGACGCTGTTGAAGATGGGGGAGTTGGTACAATAGGAACAGGAATAGACTTCCACCACGGGGTCTTTGGGCGTCCCGAGCACGGGGGACCCGAACCGGGAGCCGCTGAGGTCGCAGTGGACCTGCCGGATGTGCTCTTCGAGGGAAGAGTCCGTGAGGAAGCCCATGTAGCAGTGGGGGCAGAAGAACGCGTTGCTGTCCTTCGCCACGGGGTTGGCGAAGCCGTGCGAGCAGCGGATGTGCTCCTGGAGCGTGTTGAGGTCGTTGACGACCTCGGAGCAGAAGTTGCACTGGTAGACGATGGCGGGCATGGCCGACACGATCAGGCCGGGGTCCTGAGCTTCGTGCACCTGCTTCAGGTGCTCGTTCAGGTTGTAGAGCGAGGGCAGCACCTCCAGGCAGTACTGGCAGATGTGGGCCTGCTCGGGCTTGTCCAGGTGCATCGTCTTGAGGTGGATCTGCAGCACGGCCAGGCTGGAGAAGAGCTGCTTGCTGCAGTACACACAGCTGTAGGTCACCTTGGCCTGCTTGCCCGAGGCCCCGGCCACGTCGCTGGCCTGCGGGGCGGCCCGCTTCCGCCCGCGGCTCTTGGGCAGCGGCGGGGCGGCCTCCACCATCGTGGAGCTGTCCACCGACAGGTTGGAGTCGGGCGTGGTGCTGGACACGGAGGTGTAGCCCACGGTGACGAGGGACGGGCTGTTGCTGTGGTTACAGGACTCGGGCTGCTGGTGGCTGTCCACGTGGCTGTACAGCTCCTCCACCGTGAGGAAGCTCTCGGAGCACAGGCTGCAGGCGTTCTTCTTCTCGCCGCCGTGGGCCTGCTCCACATGGCCCAGCAGCGAGGCCTCCTCCACGAAGAGCTCGTGGCAGTAGCCGCACTGCAGGGCGGCGCGGTCCTCGCTGGGCGAGCACTCGGGGTGGCACTCGGCGATGTGCTTCTGCAGGTCCTCGGGGAAGTCGAAGCCCTCCTCGCACTGGCTGCACTTCTGCGTGTCCTTCAGCTTCCAGTCGTCCAGCCGGGAGCCGGGCGGCGCGCCGTCCTTGCCGCGCTCGTGCACCTGCATGTGCCCGTGCAGGGAGCTGGAGGACAGGAAGCCGCGGCGGCAGATGGCGCACTTGTACGGCTTGTTGGACGTGTGCGTCTTCAGGTGGATCTTGAGGTGGTCGCTGCGGGAGAAGGCGGCCTCGCACTCGTGGCAGTGGTACTTCTTGTCGCCCGTATGCAGCTTGATGTGGCGGTCGCGGCTGCGCTTGTGCTTGAAGAGGCGGCTGCAGTAGGTGCACTTGAACGGCAGCTTGTCGCTGTGGCTCTGCTCGTGGTGCTTCAGGTAGCTGAGGCGGCTGAAGGACTTGTCGCAGAACTGGCAGGGGTAGGGCAGGCCGGGGCCCCCCTCCTCCTCTCCGAAGTCGCAGCCTTCGCCATGGCTCGGGGAGGTCTGGTCCTTGCTGGAGGGCGAGGAGGCCGGCCACGAGCAGGTGGGGTCATCTTCCACGTCCACGCCATCTGCAACGACAAGGGGGCGGCCGGGTTACACGTGGGCACTCAGGGACGGGCCTGGCTGCCCTCTCTCTCTCGCTCTTTTTGGTTTTGCACCATCCTCCCCCGAGGGTGTTTTCCCATTGATTTTAGAGAGAGTGGAGGAGAGAGGGAGAGACGGAGAGAAACGCGGATGTGAGAGAGACACATCCATGGGTTGCCTCCTGCATGTGCCCTGACCAGGGCCCGGGCTGGGGAGGAGCCTGCAGCCAAGGCCCGTGCCCTTGACCAGAATTGAACCTGGGACCCTTCAGTCTGCAGGCCGGTGCTCTATCCACTGAGCCACGCTGGCTGGGGTTCTTGTGCCCTTTCAACATGTCCACAGAGTTGGACCACCTAGAACTACCTAGAACCTCTCAGAAGAAACGGGAAGAATACCTGAGCGGAACCCGTTCCGTCCCGAGCCCAGAGTCATTCTTTCCTGGGTCTAAAATATAAGAAGATATTAAATCGTTCTCTGTCCAAATTACCATTTCATTACCTCTGATCACCCTTCCTTAGAAGCAAGGTATATATTACGCATTGACAATTTTATTAAAATGCAGGTTTTAATATATTTAATGTTTCTTCGGTATTCATTCGACAGTGATTTGCATATTAGGTGAGGATCTAAGGAAGCAGGTGAAGAGGAGATATTACGGGAGCGACTTTAAATTAATGCTGTCAGCCCAGATGTCTAATATTTAATAAAAAAAAAAAGTCCCTCTGCATTCTGCTTGTTTTTATATCAAAAGGAAATTCTGAAGACCAAAATCTTTTATGGGGTTCTTATGGAGACGGGCCTTATTGCTTTCCGGAGGAAAATATTAAAAAGTAAGCACACGAAAGAAGATGGAAAACACAATAATAATTACGGCGCAGGTCATAAAAGACAACCGGGGCGCCTTCCATCACCGAGGCCCGGCACCGCCGGCCAGAACGGGGCCCTGACGTGCGAGGAGGGGGCCCCGCGCTCGGTATCGGGGATCAGCCGGGATCAAGGAGAAATGAGCTTCCCGAGGCCGGAGTGGAGCTGTTTGCTTGGAAAGTTCAAGAGGTGGCCCACCATCTCTTCCTCCCGCAGACGCGCAGCAGCAGCGACTTCCTTAGCCAAACAGGACCCGCGCTTTGAGGTGAGCAGAGACAAAGCGACTTGTGAAAAACTGGAAACAGGAAAAGTGATAAACGATGATGGTAAATGCTGAAGGATTTATGAGCAGCCAAGAGGGACAAACAAGGCCGAGGCAGATGGACTGAGCAAGTTACCCAGAAAGTCGCTGCACCTCCTACGGGGGCAGGAGGGGGGGCGTTACTCCGTCCTTAACCAGCGCACCCTCCCTCTTCTTCCCTTAACACCCACGCGGAAGCAAGACCTCCTCACACAGGCTGTGAAACCGCTGTTTCGCTTTTCAAAACAATCGTCCATTCCAGCCCCGAGGAAACTATAAAAGTGTCTCGTTCCCGGACAGAGCGCGGTTTCCCTGAATCAGCACGCGAGGCCGTGCAGTGAGCTGCTGGGCCAGTGGCTGCAGGAGAACGTGAGGCCCACGGGAGCAGGAGGCGGGCACGCTAGTCCCATCCCACCGGAGGGGCCCAGGAAGCTAGGTTTTCAAACTCCCCCAGCGACCAGGCACAGGCAGGGCAGGCTGTGTCATCAGCACCCAAGTGGAAGCTGGCGGCCCGAGGTAAACAAAGCCCGCCTGCTTTCTGTAAGGTAAGGAGGTTTCACGAGATTATCAGCCGCTCGCTTATCCACAGGAAACAGACGAGGATCATTCCTTTCCTGCCCGAGAAGCCGTGACACCACCACCCCGCGATCACGGCCAGATGGCAGCCCTCTCGCCGAGGAAACAGGCCCACTCCGTCCCTGGAGCCCTGCCCGCCCAGCACAGCTCCGGCCTGGTCGCAGCCGCGCGGCCTTCAGCCTCGCTGTGAGCCCAGAGCCCTGCCGGGGCAGGGCCATCATGGTGGGCGGGGGACTTACACGTGCGCCTAAATCATAAAGAACTCGTGGGGTGAACTCGACGCGTCCCCCAAAAGACAGAAGTACAATGTTAAAAACTTCTAAAAATCAACAAACATCGATGTTGATGTTAGCTTTCCCTTCAAAAACCCAGTCACCTAAGCTGGTGGCCCTAAAACCAACCCAAGTTTTCACTTGTCCCTTAATTAAAAAAAAAATACTATTTATTGAATCTGCTTAGCATCCGAGGTAAAAATCTATAACATTTCCCATTTGTCTTTTAGGCTCTGATCTTGCTGTTTTACTTCACGATACTTTCAAACAATCTCATGTTTACTGCCGAAGGGACAGCGAGTCAGACGCGTCCTGCATCGAGGCGGCAGGAAGGAACGCCGGAGCCTGAAGTTTAGCGAGTGGGTTCATCGTGAAGCTGCAGGTGGTGCCCAGGCGTGACATGTGATGACACCTATGTGCACAGAACAGCAGAGCCACAGCCCCTCCCAAGCCACGTGCAACCCCGACACACGCTTACACCAGGCTCCTGTCTGGGCCCGGCCTGAGGAGCCCTGTTAGGTAACCGTTCGCGTCCGTGTGTAAATTTCAGCGACACATCCAGTGAGCGGAGGAGCAGGACCGAGTGTTTACTGAGACAGGATTTACGGGAGCTGGACACCGTCTGTTCCCTCCCTCCTGTCCCCGGGAGCTTGTCTAAAGGGGAAAAAAGGGAGCGATCCTCACAGAGAATGTGTCTTTGTAACCGGAACACACAGACTCCACCGACGGAATTCACAGGCTCAGGCCGGGGGGCGGCAGAGACTGAGCAGAAGTGAAGTGTTCCAACAGGGGTGCTATTTTTAGAAACATAAAGGTGTCCTGAAAGGCTGGTTTCTGTTTGAAAAATCTAAACGGTACGAAAAACAAAACTCATTTTCTGGGGCTATAAATGGACCTATTCTCCCCGGACGCACAGGGACTCACTGACACTCCCGCAGGGGCCGGTCCTGCGAAGGGTATCAGGTCTCCTCCCAAGACGGTCCCGGTGGCGGCGGTGCCAACATGCCCGCGGCCTGCGTGTCACCGACGGCCACCCACCCAGGGCCGTAGCTTCTCAGCAGTCAGCACGCAGACGTGCAGAGGCAACTATCGATTTCAACCATTTCAGGGTCCTTGTTCACATGGACATAGTTCGGGGGAGTCTTCCGGCTCCGGCTCCCGAGCCCCCGTGACGGTCCCCTCCCGGCTCTGGCTCTTCCTGCGTGCCGCCCACAGGCCCGTCTTTCTGTCACGCGAGGCCCCTGCGTGGCGAGGGGAAGTGCTCGCGCGTCCACGACACATTTTAATTGTTGGAATCAGTCCCCCCGCACTCGCCGACTCCCAGAGAACCACGGCTCTGACAGCCGGAATGCAAACTGAAAAAGAATAAAAAACCCTAAAAACCTTCGCTGGAAACCAGCTCCGGGCCCCCACGTCTATTTAAAGATGCGAATGTGTGTGCACAGGCAGCGCAGATGTTTTCCGGCCGCGACGTGCTGGCCGAGCCCGGCCCTGTCCACGGAGCACAGGGAAACACGTGTGTGAACGCGGAGATGGAAGTGGCCAGCACCCGGGACGGCTGGGAGGCGGCCGCCGCCTTCTCTCCAGCAGCCTGAGCGGCCATGAGTCAGCAGCTGCGCATAAAGGAGCCTTCTCTCCGCTGCCCTGGCTCTGAGCTCCTGCCAGAGGGGAGGCGAGCGCCCGGCCTGAAGGCCGCTTTGTTAGGCGGCCAGCCCGCCTCTCCTGGCCCGGGGACTGCAGGTCCTGGAGGAGGGCCCGGCCCGGCCCCGGCCTCTTGTCCGTCCGCCTCGAGGGGCGAAGAGCAGACTCCTCCTCTGGGTCTGCCGCAGGGCACAGCTGGAGACTCAGCGGCCCAGGGACACCCGGTCGGTCACCTTTGTAGGGCAAGTGCTCACGCACAGGAGAGGGAAGTCACGCTAGAGCGGCGGTTCTCAACCTGTGGGTCGCGACCCCTTTGGGGGTCGAACGACCCTTTCACAGGGGTCGCCTAAGACCATCGGAAAACACATATATAATTACATATTGTTTTTGTGATTAATCACCCTGCTTTCATTATGTTCACTTTGTAACAATGAAATTGGGGGTCACCACAACATGAGGAGCTACATTAAAGGGTCGTGGCGTCAGGAAGGTTGAGAACCGCTGCTCTAGAGGAAGGCACTTCATGGAAAAATCAGAGGCACCAGCGCACAGGGCCCCCCTGTGAGGGCGCCACCAGCCCCTCCTAGGCCCAACAGACAAGCACCCCCCAAAAGGGCTGCTCCGTCGGCAAATGGGGACCAGGGACATGAAGCCAGCCACGTCGAGGAGAAATGCCGGGGGTCCCGGCCATTGCCGGCGCTCGTCTCACCCCAGTGGCCAAAGGAGAGAAAATCGGAGGAAGAGTAAGAGCGGACGGGCAGGAAGGTCCGGGCGATGCCAGCGCTTAGTCAGACCACTGGGCCCGTCTTGGTGCCAGGCCTGCGTCGTGCGGGTAGGGCCTGGGCCCGCCAGGCGTGCAGAGCAGGACCCCAGCAGTGCAGGCATCTGAAACCCACGGAGGATGTAAGTCACAGGTGATGGCACTACGGTACCTGGGAAAGAAGTTGTCCGGATCCCGGACTTCATGGGAACTTCCCTTCTTTCAGCCCTCTGAGGCTGGGCTGGAGCAGCCACCTGGCCCCTTGCTACCTGAGCTCAGACCCCGCGGGGAGCGCTTGCTCACTGCCCCTGGGCCTCCACTCCTGTGGGCGCCAGTGCACTCCCAAGGCTTCCCTCATGGGACGGGGTTACATGGGGCTTGTCCAGGGAGCAGAGCAGCACAGGCCTGCAGGGCTGGCTCCGGTTTTTCCGGATGAGAGATGCAAGGGCACGGAATAAGAAGAAGTCGAGTCTTGAGTTTTATCCCTTGCCCCTCCACCCCACCCCGTCACATCTGACTCAGAGCGTGACCTGGCCCAGTCCTCCGTCTGCCTCCCCCGTCCCCCGCCCC